TTCTAGTTCCATTCAAGAGTTCTTATGTGTTTTCACGACCCTTTAAGACCCTAAAATTTTGACAAATTCCTTTTCTTTTCTTAAGAACACATACAAGGTTCGTCACTACAAACAAGATAATGGTAACCCACCAAAACTGGGCGCAAAGAATCAACCAGACTGACCTAGTGGATAAATCAAGAATACAGAAACAAAAACAGCAATTGGACCAGAGAATGCGATTGCATTATAAGGTGTCAATTGAATAGATCGCACAAATTCAAATTGACTTAACACAAAACCTATTAGTCCGAAAGCGCCGTGGCCCGTGGAGAGCAACAAATATCCACAGACTTATGATGTCTGCCGTTACTAATATTCTACTTGACAGGGATTAATTAACTTTATTCTCACATAAGTTTATAAACTTAGGTGTGAAATATTTTAACATACATACAACATTTTTAATTAATACGCGTTAAGCCAGCTAATTTTTAATGATATAAATTAGGATAAAGTACACAAATGGTCACCTGATTATTCATATGTTCCAAATTCATCATTTACTGTTAAAAAAATTGACGATCGTCTGAACTGGTCATTAACTTGTTGATTAGGATATGATAAAATCATATTTTAATAATTTTTCCTGGCACCGTCGTTGCTTTCAAGCACTAGCTCGAAGGGATAATGTTTCAAGCACTGACTCAATGATATAATGTAAATGAAGACTCGATCCACAAAATACAACTCAAATGATTCCAGGATCAAATTTTATCATATATAGGTCAACATATTAACATCCAGTTCAGACGAAGACCAATTTTTCAATAGAAAAGGACGAGTTTGGAATATATGAATAGTCGGATGACCATTTTATAACTTTTAATAGTCAGGAGACTCAACAAAATAACGCCCTATAATCGATGGATCATTTTATAACTTTTAATAGTTGGGGAACACAAAAAAGCAACATCCTATAGTCGGAGGACAATTTGTCTACTTTACCCTATAATTTATTTGGTTGAAAAGGATGTGATGGCATTTAGCTAAGAAGGTTCCTCCAATAAAGAAATCATCTAGTATTCATTGATCAAACTCTCTATTTAAATATAATTACAACTAATTATAGTGTATATATAAGCAAAGAAAGAAGACCTCATTAAGATCAAGTGTTGTTAGTGTATAGATATATTAGTGAAAGGCGTGCAAAGCAGGTCAGCGGTAAAGATGGAGAAGAAATGCAGTGCTCCGCCGCCGGTGAGAGGGAACGTAAAACGTCGAATCTTTAATGGTTTATTCTTACTTCTTAAAGTTTCAGTTGGAAAGATCAATCGTTTTCTCTTTAACCCTACATGACAATGTTAGCTTTCATTTTGTTTAGTTATTATTCCGATTCTCAAGACTTCGTCCTGTACTGAGTAGACGTTAGCTTGCATTTCGTGAAACGGGAGAAGCATTAAAGATTGCATTATATGTACATTTTGATATTCGTGCATGTTCTTATCATATAATACAGATTAAGCATGCCGTCCACTTTATGATGGTTTCTTTTTTTTTTCTATCCTTTATATATATGTTTTAGTATACATATTCTGAGTTTATAGCTATCATAGAAATAACGTTTTTTTTCTTCTTATTTTAATTTGAAACCTTTTTTATACGTTTGGATGGTTATAAGATAATATATGTTCATAATAATCTTAGTCAATTGATAATTAATGCACATACACTCTGCAGGTAGAGTTCCTCGAACTTGAAACCTCTAAATTTAACAACACTCTATTTCATCACTAAAATAATTCAACGAGTTCTTAAACCACCAACAAATACCACTATCCTCTATCAATGATGTGTAAAGAGGGTATTAAACGTTTAGGATCATAATAAAAAAACCTTATCTAAATACATGAATCAAACTACATTAGTACCTAAATGGATGATTGTTATCTCTAAAGATTTCATATTCAAGCATAAGAGATTTTAATGGCTTTTGAGCTTTCATTGTCAAATGATTAAGAATTTTTTAGAACATATATTATATTGTAATCCCCTTAAATTAATTAAAAAACACTTATCTAAATATTTTAGATATTGAAGTTATTGTTAGTGGACTTAAATATTTTAGTTTAAATACTCCTTTAAGTCCCTCTCAATTTTGAACTCAAAAAATTATTTTTTCTCAAAATATTCTTTATATAATTTTTTACATAAAGTTTTTAAACACTTATCTAAATACAAAATTAATTCATATTCTAACCCGAAACTATGTTGTCTTCGGTTACAATAATATTACAAATACAAGCTAAAACATAAAAAATATTTGATTGAAAAAAAACACATTTAATTTTCTTAAAAATTATAGATTTAGAGCAAGAATAAGGGCCTAATTGAAAAAATATTATAAATTTATATATATTTTAGTTTCTATTTTATTTAAAAATTATTCAATTAAAGTTGGAAATATGTCATGTATTTACAGAAAAGGTAAATACTATCATAAACAGTTCTTATTTACTCACTTTCAAAATGCACATTGAACAATTTACTCTAATTTTTTCAAGAGGGGTCAAATTGCTCAATTTTAAATTGGTGGGGTCTTAAAGGGTGTTTAAACCAGAATATTTCAAACTAACTGTAATTTTAAAATTTTATACGAAATATTTACTTTTCAAATATTCAAAGACTAAAATATCTCTTTTATAATAGAGGAAATGAATCTTTAGTTATAATAAAAGGATTATAAATTTATAGTAAAAATTTTAAAATAAACTTTTAAATATAATATAGCAACTTATAATAGAGTAAATTAACTTTATTCTAAGATAATTTATAAATATTTAGTTATCACAGACATTTTTAATTAATGCCACCTAATTAATTAAGAACACGGCTGGATGGTTATTTTCATTACAAGCGCCAAATAAATGACATAACCAAGATTTTGCTGCCGGCTTGGGTGTCCATATCCCTAGAGTAGTTAATTACTTGATAAAAATATATATTTATTTAAAAATAAAAATATCAATATGTTTAAGGGTAAACTACATCAAATATCACTGAACTTTATGATTTATACCAATTTCATCACTGAACTTTAAAGTGTTTCAATTTTAGCACAGAACATTGGTTTTTACTTCAATATAAGCATTGGATCTTTATATCATTAACGACAATATGACATGGTTACTTTCTTTCATGTAAACCTAGTTTGTGTACTGATTTTTTTGATAAACTTTAAAACACTTCATTTAGAGGCATTAAACTTGAGTTTGCGAATAATTTTAGTCAATGTAAACAATTGTCAACTCTTATGATTTGTCTTTGTCGGTCAATTGTCGCTTATCATTGGCTATTATTCGTGATAATATTGGTATTAAAACATTCGTCTTTTATTCCTCTTTCTATTTCTCGGATTGACTTTACATGTATGTTGTTTGACTTTTTGAAAGAATGCTTCTCACCGTTCATATTTTTTACAAACCCCTCAAAACTAAGAAAGTCCCCAAACCCCCAAAATTATGAAATTTTTGTGTTTAATTTCATATTTTTTAAAAAGGTTTTGAGAAAATCTAAACTAACAAAGTGGTAGAGGACGATGATACAAGTTCATCAATATTTAAGGTAATCATAAAAGATGTCGAAGAATGACAATTTTCGACGAGGGCTAAAATGGGTGTAAAAACTCTAACTTTGATGAAGAACAATATGAGACGAAATAAAAATAATATTTTTTTACTTTCACATTAACACATGTCAACACCAAACTTCCATGTCATTCAACTGCTAATGGGTTAACAACTCAATGCATATATTATAGCCAAAACCAAGGTTCAATGTTGAAATTAAAATATTTTAAATTTCAATGATAACATCAATATAAACCCCAAAGTTAAGTGACATTCGAAGTTTTTACCTCATTTGTAATAGGAATTTGATTCCTCCTATAAGGTATATTTCATAACAAAAAATATATATATACTTATGGAATGGAAAATATAAATAATAAATAATAAATAATAAATAATGAGATTCGATTGCATTTGATTAACTAATATTGAGTGTAATAATTAAAATGCATTATATTTCTAAGAAGAGAATTCAAATTTGAAGTTAACGTTATTAAGATATACATTATAAAATTGATATGGAAGATACAATAAAATATTATATGGAGTGGAGTTTAAGTGTTTGTATCCCCGTATTTATCTATGCATATAATTAGTGGGATTCATAAATGTAAAATTAGATATATAAAATTGGAAAATTCTACAACGTTAGACGAGTATAACTGAGCAGCGAACACCATCACCTAATTATTGTCCCTTTTCATTTTAATCACAATCTTTGAAATTTTGTCAATCATGTCATCCAACTATTTAGAATTATTTTATTAACTGTCACATCAGTACTTTCGTTAAATGTTAAGGGCATGTGGCTTGATTGAATGCATTTAAATAGTTGGATGACTTGATTAACAAAAATTAAAAAGTCGCGGTCAAAATGAAAAGAGGCAATAGTTAGTTGGACAATAGTATAATCTACCAAAAATTATGGAAAATAATGTAATTAATATTTTATTTTAAATAATTTACCTTCTAATTTTTAATTAATTTATAATTATACGTTGATTCTATTAGAAAATTTAAAATTTTAAAATTAAAACAATGCTTATCGTTAGTGATGCTCGTTGAGCGTTACTGGTGCTCGTTAAGCGTTAGTGGTGCTTAGCAGTGCTCTTCGAATGTGACAGACTCATCAAATAAAATTTTAATATTATTTTCTTGAATATGAAACTTCTCCCAACCATATGGATATCGAGGCGATCAACAAAGCCACCCTAGAAACTTCGCATGGCCCAACATCCTATCGTGATACTCTACTCAAAGATAATCCCATGGATCCTTCGATTGATGAAGAAATAATGGATGAGGAAGATGTCGAAGTCTTTGAAGACGATGTCGTTCGTGGTGTCGTCGATGGTTTAATATCCATTGATTTCTCCAACCCGAGTCCAAGCCATGGCCAATAAGAGTTTCGATCAGACTGTGGTGGTGAAGCTACTTGGGAGGCGTATTGGCTACACAACCCTTAAGAATAAACTTTATGATATATGGAAACCATCTCAACCCTTTCGCCTCATGGACATAGAGAACGATTACTTCCTTGTTTCGTTGCGAACGCGATTAAATTTCTTGACAGCCCTCTCCGATGGTCCATGGACAATCTTCAGACATTATTTGACTGTTGAACCGTGGTCACCTGACTTTTCCTCTTCACAGCTATTTCCTCATCGAATTGTGGCATGGATCCGGCTCCCGGGATTACCGGTAACTCTTTATAAATGTAGTCTCATCACTGAAATTGGCGAATGCATTGGGAAGGTTGTTAAAATCTACTACCAAACAGAAACGGGGCGTCGAGGACGCTTTGCGCAAATGGCGGTGAGCGTGGATCTGGGAAAACCACTAACCTCGAAGCTCTTAATTAATGGTCGTGTACAAATCATTGAATATGAATCATTGCCTACCATTTGTTTCTCTTGTGGCCGATACAGACATGTTAAAGACATTTGCCCTGAAAACACAGTTGAAGATCAACAAGAATCTGCTGCTCCAAAAGAACAAGTTACTGAGGCACAATTTCTGAATGCCAACAAAAAATCCAAACCCTTCGGACCGTGGATGGTCGTTGAAAGAAGGCAAAGGAAAAACTTTTAAAAACCTCCTACGGATAGCGAGCGAAATATGGAGACTAATAGCTCGAGATTCAATCCTCTATATGAATCCACCGATGATGCAAATGCTACTGCCTTTGAACAGCCAAACCAATCTTCAAAATCCAACCAGACTACTCATTCTCCTTCTCCGGCACCTCAAGCACAGTCGAGTAAAGCACGCTCCAGCGATCATCATGCTGCAAAGAGCAAGACTACAACTCATGTTTGTAAACCTTTAACGATATCCAAGGTAACTGCTAGACCCTCCAAAGGTTACTATGGGCAGCCAAGTCATCAACCCCGCCAAAACACTGTGGAACCACTTGTCTCAATACTAGACAGATCGAAACACTCGACTATCATACTATCGAAAAACACTAATCCAAACACTGCATATGATATCATCTCACACGCTACACAAGGGAACTCCCAGCACAAGTTAATTCCACGTAAGCCACCGGATACAAACCACGTTCAAGTAAGTGATTAACCTCATCTTTCTACAGATGGTAAACTCACTGATCCTGCACAATGCACGAATGTCATGCAGAACAATTGCATTGAAAGCCAGCCGGTTCCCATGCTGGAATGATCTGATTTTTTATACTTACCTCTCATTATGGTTGTTAAACTAATAAGTTGGAATGTTCAGGGGTGTGGCCAACCTCGTTCTCTCACAGTCTTTCGACAATATTTGCGTGACTTTAAACTAGATTTAGTAGCTATTTTCGAACCTCGGATAAGTGGTGGTAGAGCGGATGTTTTTATCGCTGCTACTAGGTTCCCTCGCTCTCATCGTATTGAAGCAACAGGGTTTTCAGGTGGCATATGGTTATGCTGGCATGATAAAATTCAAGTGGATATACTTCTCAATCATCTCCAATTCATCCACTGACGTATCTCTACCACCCAAGGAAATTTCTCGACTTTAGCATCATTTATATATACTAGTCCAAACTCAACAAAGATAAAGTTGCTTTGGCCTCATCTTCGGTACCTAGCTGGGTATATTACCACTCCTTGGGTCATTTTGGGAGATTTTAATGCCACACTTATTGCTTTCGACAGGAAGAATTGTGCGACTACTACTCAACCTTGCAGATATTTTCAGGATTTTGTTTATGATTTTGGTATCCATGACATGGGATTCCAAGTTCCTGAATTTACATGAAACAGGGGATTATCTTATGCTCATCTTGATAGAGCTTTATGTAATAGCAAATGGGATGAATCTTATCCCGAAACATCCGTACACCACCTACACCGAATGTGGTCTGATCATATACCACTTCTCCTTTGTGTCGGCAGCCCTATGGCCAATATTCGCCCATCTCAATTTAGGTACTTCTCTGGCTGGTTACTTCACGATGACTTTAGTCGAAAGGTGGAGGATAATTGGGTAAACTCTGAGACTCTTTCAGGCACTATTTCCCATTTTACTGAAGCAGCAGATACATAGAACAAAACAGTGTTTGGTTATATCGACACAAAAAAGAAGATTATTATGCTGAGATTTTGAGGAGTGCACAGAAGCCTTACTAGATTCCACTCGAATATCCTTATCAATCTTGAAGCCGACCTCCTCATCGAGTTAGAAAAACTCTTAGATCAAGAGGAAACACTTTGGAAACAACGATCGAGAGTCAATTGGACTGCACAAGGTGACCGCAATACAAAATACTTTCATAGACGTGTCGTACAACGAAAGTAGAAGAATCAAATCCTGTCACTAAAACTCCCTTCAAATGATTGGTTCTATGACACACATATACTCAAGGAAGAAGCAGTTAATTATTTCATGAATATTTATGCTTGTGATGAAGAAGTGGTCAGAAAATTCCCTATTTCAGGATACTTTCTGGTAATTCCAGCACATCTGCAGGGCTCCATGGCTATCACTCCAAATGATACGGAAATTTTTGAAGCTCTGAAAGATATGGCCCCCTAAAAGCTCCTGGCCATGATGGCCTACATGCAGAATTTTTCCAGAAGTAGTGGCACGTGGTGTCTCATTCTGTTTGCAACATGGTTAAAAAGATCTTTGTAGGAGGTGATATTGAAGCCGATATAAATAAAATTGTGATTGTTTTAATCCCAAAAATAGAAGCTCCAGTAACTTTTGCTGATTTCCGCCCCATCAGCCTATGCACTGTCATGTATAAGCTCATCACCAAAATCATCGTTCGCCGCATTAAACACTTGATGTCTATCTTAATCATGCCAAATCAAACGAGTTTTGTCGTTGGGCGCTCTATTACATAAAATGTTATTATAAATTAGGAGGTAATCCACTCTACGCGGTAACTCAAGAAAAAACAAGGTTGAGTGGCAATTAAAGTGGATCTCGAAAAAGCTTTCGACTGTCTCCGATGGGATTTCATCCAAGATTCGCTCATGACGTTGGCTTCCCAGTCAGTACCATCCGAGTCATAATGCATTGTATCACTTTAGCCTCTATGCAAATCCAATTGAATGGTGAATACACTCCAGATTTCAAACCACAACGGGGTATCCGACAAGTTGACCCTCTTTCTCCATATCTATTTGTTTTAGCAATGGAAAGACTTGGTCATAGCATTCGTAAATGCGTCGAAGAAGGAGATTGGAAGGGATTCTCTTTTGCCCGACAAGGACTTCCCATTAGCCATTTATTTTTTGCTGATGACCTTATGTTATACGCAAAAGCAGATCTTCCTCATACTAGGCAAATTGAGAAAATCCTCAACCATTTTGGGCACTTTTCAGGACACAAAGTCAGTAAACGAAAGACTCATATATACTTCTCGCCTAACACTGTCACGGAAACGAAAACTGTCATCCTTTCATGTCTTGGGTTCCAAGAAGTTGACCATATGGGCAAATATCTTAGCGTGTCGGTCCTTCATAGTCATATGAAAACTGTGGATTTTGACTTCATCTTCGATAAATTCAGGGGTAAATTAAAGGGTTGGGCAGCTCAAACTCTTTCATTGGAAGGGCGTGTTACTCTGGCTAAATCGTTCCTTTAAGCCATACCAACTTATTTTATGCAAGTTATGTCTTTCCTAAAGAAGGTCTGTGATGAGATAGAATCTGCGACTAGGCACTTTATTTGGGGCTCTGAACCCTCCGGAAGGAAAATATCCTTAGTTAATTGGCCTACGGTCTGTACTCCTATTGATAGAGGAGGGTTGGGTTTAATCCTTCCTCTTGAGCAGAACAAAGCTTTCCTGATGAAGCTTGGTTATTCTATTATGGTAAAGAGAACTTCTTACTGGGTCCAATTACTCAGACAAAAATATAAAATCCAGGATGCTTATCCTTTATCCATTGAAAGACACATATGCACCCCATTATGGCGGGGGATAGCGAAAACATGGAGCCAATTATCCTCATGCTTGGTCTGGTCGGTGGAAAATAGAGACACCATAAACTTTTGGAATGATGCGTGGGTGACACATTTGGGACCATTATACAGTTATGCACGAGCTAACGCACATGTGCACCCAACTCAGAAGCTACACAATTTCATTGATGAACAAAATCATTGGGACATAGAGGCGCTATCCCAAGTTCTTATTCCAGTTTCCATCCCTCATGTGCTTAACTTTCGGCCTCCTGAGGCTACCGATATATCCGATGCCCTGGTCTGGAAATGGGATCCTGAACTTCACTTTACGATCAAATCGACTTACACATTTCTCATAGAGGATAGTTGGTCCGGAAAGAATAATGTTTGGAAGAATATTTGGTCGATCACCGCTCCTTAACGAGTCCGCATGTTCATATGGCTTGCTTATAAAGAAAAGATCATGACAAACTATGAAAGCGGAAGACGAATGCTGACAAATGACTGCTCATGTGCGACTTGTGGCGCAACCATGGAATCAGTAATTCATGTATTGCGTGATTGCCCACCCAGCCAAAACCTGTGGTTGCGTGTTGTTCCACATTCCGCATTTGCTAGTTTCTTCGGTACTAATCTTCAATCATGGATCACACAAAATATTCAGAAGCAACAACCCGTAAGTGATGGCGATCCTCCTTGGTCCTCCTTTTTTACTGCTCTTATTTGGCACATCTGGAAGCAAAAGAATGACTATGTTTTTAAGGGTGCCACTTACAAAATAGATTCTACAATTCACAGTAGTTATAATTGGGCAAAATGCTATGCAAATAGCTCCAAAGTCCCTGTTATATATCCGATACAGCATGTGACAAATCCAACATGGTCTCCACCACCCCGAGGATGGATGTGCTTGAATATGGATAGTGCAGTGGCGACATTTGATGGGCGAGGCTCAATTGGTGGTGTTATCCGTAACTCTAACGGAGAATGGATTATATGTTTCACAAAGAATATAGGCACAACATCGATACTTCACGCCGAACTTTGGAGCATTTATGAAGGGCTTCTCATTGCAAGAAACTTGGACATTCACAGGCTTTGGATCCAATTTGACTGCAGTAGAGCAGTCAAATTGGTAGGAGAAAGTGGTTCAATGGACAACCATATTTCGTTACTTCGCGCAATTTTAAAACTTCTACAGTCAGGATGCTGGGTGACAAAAATCCAATGGATTAGCAGGAATTGAAACAAGATTGCCGATAGGATGGCAAAGCTAGCTTTGCGACAATATTACAACTTGGTTCACTTTGACTCCCCCCGGATGAGCTAGCAAACCTCCTAGCTTTAGACGCTGCTGTTCCGCAGCAAACTGATGAGAGTTTACGCGCATAGCCTACTGTTTTAGTTAGGCTTCTTTCAATTCAAAAAAAAAATTGTACCTCATCTAAAACTCGGTTAATATACGAAACTATAAATATATTTCTAATATATATTTCATTTAATAATAATTATATTTACAAGTGATAATAATTTTTAATATATAATTTATATATTAAATTGAGGAATAAATTATATTCGTTTTTATAACATAATCAAATTAATATATTTTAAATTTTATCTAATAATATATGAAATACACGTTTTATTTAAAAAATTATAGAATTTTTGTTTAA